ATATATATGTATATATATAATTTTCCCCCAAACCCTTTGAAAAGAAGTAAGATATTTTTCAGATGAAGATACTTATTTTCACCTCAAACTTTCTGCAATCCTTTTGTCTCAGTCTCCCGAGTGCTGGGATTATAGGCATGCTTTACCACACCTAGCTTTTCTTCTTTTCATCAGATGTATTTATCAAATTCATTGGCATCATTATTCTTTTTTTTTGAGCTACTGGGATTGAACTTGGGACCTTGCACTTGCCAGGCAGTTGCTTATGCCACTGAGCCATCTCCCTGGGGCAGCATTATTCTTTTGGATCAGATTGCCCCAGATTTGGAGAATATGGTGACCATCTTTTTGATATTTCTCCAGTAGTCTTCAAATACTTCCTTGTTGTCTGACTGAGCTGTTTCGTTGGGGATTTCCTTTTCCAGCTGGGAATCGCTGAGTTCTCTTGGGCCCTTGCCTCTTCTAGTAGAGGATGGTGTCCAGAAACTATGGGCTAGGTGCGAGGTGTGGTCATGCACTGAGGTGTCTTTGCTTCTAGGTTCCTACAGTGAGTGGGCAGAGCTGCGAAGTGAATACTTATGTACTTTAAGCCAAGTGTTCTTACTGACAGTTCTGATTCAGTCCAACTTCCTCTTCTTCTCCCAGTACACATTTTTACTTCTGCTCCTGCAGGAGAGCTGCTATTTTCAACAGCATAATGTGTGACCTCATTTTCCCAGTTCTAAAATTAAAGTTTTAGAATTACTATACTACCATCTTTCTAATTATAAACATACAAAATAAAGTTCTAGATTTCTTTGGAGTCATCTTGTACGTGGAATAAGGGCATAGTGTTTGCATTGCCCTCACAATCATTTTCTGGGTAGATATGAAGTCATACAGGTCCATTTCTTTCTGTTTATATTCAGTTCTTTTGTCTTTCTTGATTTGCTTTGTATTTATTGAGCCTGTGAAACATGTGTAGGACTCAAAAACTCCAAAGTGGCCAGGCGTGGTGGCGCATGCCTGTAATCTCAGCACTCAGAAGAGTGAGGCAGGAAAGTTGCTGAGCGCTCAAGGCCAGTCTGACCTCCATAAGGAGACCCTATCTCAAGAAGAAAAAAAAAAGTCAAAATTCATAGCTGTATAAAAGGGCATATTCTGAGAACTCTCATTCTTATCCCTACCCCTTGCACAAAATTTGCATCTCTGTAGAGATTAATTTTGACTAATTTTGTTTATCTTTTGTGAGTTTTTTTTCTTTTGAGATAGTGTCTTGCTGTTTATTTTAGTCTGGCCTTGAGCTCACTATGTGGCTGGGCTTGTACTCACAGCAATAGTGCTGATATTACAGGTATGTGCCACCACACCCACTGCAAATATATATTTTTCTTCCTGTTTTCCTCCTCTGAGCATGACCTTATTTATTTTTTTCTGATACATTAAAAACAAAAATCATGCATATTAGTGGGGTATTATGTATTGTTTATTTTCCTTTTATTTTTGTATTTGAGGTAGAATACTAAATGTTTTTCTGTTTTTTTTTCCCTCATAGAAATTTTTTATAGGGGCTGGTGAGATGGCTCAGTGGTCTAAAGCACCTACTTTGAACAAGCTTAGCAAAGCACAGGGACCACGGTTCAATCCCCCAGCACCACATGCCAGCCAGCCCCCTGGTGGGCTGAACTG